CATTTTTACCAAAACAAAACACAAGTCTCATAAGAAGCATCTAAATGACCCCTGAGCGAAAAATGCTAACGCACTTTGGCACAGAACTCAAGATAAAATATACCCTTATTACTTATCGTAGCTGCACATACAAGATATCCGATTAAAGCTGAGGTTCCACAGATTATTTAGGTATATAGTATCATCACTGAGTGATCCGAACTCGCGACAGGGGAAGCAAACACAGACATCACAACACGTACCTTTACGGAGCTTTTAAGGGAGATCGTCTCACCGTAGCTGTCAATCTGATCAAAAGACTTGTTCAATGGCATTAAAACGAGAAAAAACTTGGCTGAATCGGTTAATCCATAGGTTGATAATGTTTCTGTGGATATGAAAAAATTATTTATAATCCATAATTCAATTTTTATGTAAAAATCGGAGAGTAAAAGTTAGCTGCTAATGGTAGCCACCAGAGTTATCGCAGCTTCCGGTTTTGGCTATGTGTCAGTCTCACACACACACATGACCAAATAAGGAGTATGTGGAAGTTCCCCTCGATTCCATTGGCTCTGACGGTTAGAAAGAGATGTCAATCAGCAAAATCGAGCAAGCTTTTTTTTGTTGCTAAATCTCTCTAAAAAGGTCAAATTTCACTTGTTTTGCATCATTCTTGATACAGGGTACTTATTATATGTTGTAGTTTGGATTCCTAAAGCTTTTAGTCTACCATCCCATCATTCAAGGGTGGTTTTCACCAGAATTCGAGTTAGGTGGGAGCCAATTGGAGCTGAGCTCCCATAAGGAGGAGCCTGAGCTCCCAAGGACGCGGTGAAATCATACATGTGTGGGGGTCGCTAATACATTAACAACAACCATTTAAATCAAAAATAATGCATGTGTCAATGTAATGAGTATTATTTACGTTAACGAGGTAAATAGGCTAAAACGTTTGTGTGTGTGTGTGTGTGTGTGTGTGTGTGTGTGTGTGTGTGTGTGTGTGTGTGTGTGTGTGTGTGTGTGTGTGTGTGTGTGTGTGTGTGTGTGTGTGTTAAAGACCCCCATAGAGCTCAGTTTGTAACTCGAACTCTCACATTTTTTTTTTTGGACTGACACAATAATTTACATTTTTTTACTGTGTTCATTCTGAATTTACTTTAAAATAAAAACATTTATATTGATTCTGACACTTCTACATCCAACTCACAGATGTAACCTTGCTTTGAGAAAAAAGATTATTAATTTAACGCTTTTAGAAGGGAAGATATGGTCATTTGTTCTGGGAAGGTCATTTTCGAGCCTGAGACCTGAAAAACAGGCTGTCGTTTTAGTTGTATCTCTATGAGTGTCAGGCACTAAAACATGTCTCAGCCTTTTATTATCCAAAGCAGGTCCACACACATGACCCTGCAGGTGCCTTGCTGTAGTGATGCTGTGCTTCAAGTAGTTCACGTTTTTAATGACTGGCTCGAAAAACAACACACAACTGCCCTCGTCTGGATATAAACAGAACTGCCCTCCTTTTTTAAATTGTCACTTACTCCTTAACTTTCTGCTTCCCCATGGTGTTCACTTCACTATTGAGAAAAATACGTTAATTGACTTTCATATCAAAGCATCATATTTTAGCTGAATATTATATGTTGCAACATAACAGGAGTTATCCCAGGCTGCTGCTGAGGTCATGCAGAGGCTTTAAGTGACAAACCAATGTCATATTTAGGTGTCACTCTCCTGCTTATTAGCACCTGTCCTTTCTCTCTGTGAAATTCCAGATACGCTGATGACACATGTATTAATACACGCAAACAGTTCATGTTTAGAGCGTGTACTGTATACCTTTGTGAGCAGTAAAGCCTATATGGAAGTGCAAAACCTGCAGTTGGCCATTTGAGTCCAGATCTAAAATGCAGCAATCTCCAAAGACCCCTATTATTATTATTATTATTTTTATTATTATTATTATTATTATTAAGAATATGTTAAAAGGGCCCTTAGGCTTTTGGTGGTTTTCCCTTTCCTGTTGTGTGTTAAATAGGTTTTTGTGCCTGTAAATGGTTAAGCTAATCCCTCCAGAGGGAGTTTCTCTCCAACACACCTGAAACGCCCACCGATTGTGGTCCTTGGTTAACTTCTGCGATATAGTGACATCAATAGGGCTAACACACTTTCTAGTGATCCAACACATTGCACGTGTAGACTGAAAGGACGGGACATCTGAGCAACTGACAATTCACAACAGAGCCAGTCAGCTAACCAATCAGAGCAGACTGGGCTCTGGTTTCAGACAGAGGGTGAAAAGAGTTAGTATAGTAGTAGAGGCAGTATAAGAAAAATAAAAACGTTTTTGAACATTAAGGCATGGAGACATGTTACAGTAGAGGCAGAAAATACAATTTTGAACATGAAAATGAGCAGAACTGGACCCCTTTAATACATCCACGACCTGACCCCAGTTCAGAGCAAAGCAAGTGGAGCTGCCCTGACTCAAGCAGACTCAAGTGCTTGTCAATATTACATCCGTATACACTGCAGAATTTGTTTTGATGATATCCAAAATGAATAATAGCGGTGGTTGGGAGGCGGACAATGCTTCCAGTAGGCTGGATGTGGGGCTTTGTTTAGTGACTTATAAGACCCTGGATCATGAAGTCACCTTATTGTTATTTCATATCAATTAAGGGAATCTGCACCATGCGTGTATGAGGAGCACCTGGTGCAGACATGTGTTTTATGGCTTTGTTTGCAGTACTTTATAAAAAAGACTATGTAACTAATTTTTAGGTGCTTACTAACTAATAGGGACACCATGCATGCATCGACAAGTACCGTCGAAATGTGTGCCTTTGTTTGTGCACTCTGCGTTAATAAATAGCCTAATATTCCACCATAAAATTAAACACAGGCAAGCAAGCACACAGTCAAAGTTTAGATATCATATTGATCAATATGCTAAAAGGATCATTTACAAAAAAGTCATGATACTGTAGGAGCACATACTAACATAAATTAGCAATATGAAACGTATGAAGAGAATAAAATGCGAATATTAAAAGATCTATCATCTGCATTATCATAGTAACAAATACAATATTTAGGGTTAAAAGAGGAGAAAGAATTAGAAGTTTCAAAATAGTCCATCCATAATTTGACAAACAAAAAAGGTAATAAATAGTTTATACATCTTGTGTCGACAAAGAAACAAGAAATGTCAATGTCTGTAAATGTAGAGATAAAACAATTAGCAGGGTAAATTACATTTAAAATGTTTAAAATTTCGTAGATCTCAAGAAAATAAAACCTTGCGGCTGGGTTATTCTTTATTAAAGTTCTGTGAAAATACCTTATTGTTAAAGATTTGTTAGTTTTATTCCTGGCACTAAAGGCTGTTCGATTTGTAATAGCCATAGAGAGAATATCTATATGGCGCTGGCCAGCACATTAGAGATTTAAATGGTGGTCTATGTGTCCTCCTTCCCGCCAGCAGGCGCTGTTGTTTACGTTACGTTTGTTGCAGGAAGTCAACCCCACTTCGGGGGAAAGGAAATCATTCAGCATGCGAGTTTGTTTGGAACTCCATGTGACAGCGACTTCATTTAAAATAACAGATACAACCCGCTAAATTGAACGCTTTTCCGGCAGTTTATCACAGCAGTCATGGGCAAAAAAAGCAAGAAAGAGAAGAAGGTGAAGGGAGCGGAGAAGACGGCCGCCAAAATGGAGAAAAAGGTTTCAAAGAGGTCCAAAAGAGAGGAGGTAACACCACTGAACCTTGTGTTCAATTCTGTTCATTTCACATCATAAAAAGTAGCTTCGCACACATGTTTGGTAATAGGTTTAAAAAATAAAAATAAAAACATCGTTAACTACCAGTGCTAATAGAAATTCAACTCACACAGAAACTGGACTTATTTCACATTCAGACGCAAAACCCCCTTAAGTGTGCAATTCAGCATGAATGTCTTTATTAACACTAATACACTGCATATAATAAATAATGCACTTTTGTCCTCTTTTATTGCACATTTAAAAAAACAAACTGCTTGTGCTTACATTTCAATATTTGTGTTTTATTATATTTTTTATTACACATTTTTTAATGAACGTCCTTTGCTTTGACCTCTTACGATTGTATACATATAATAATTTTATTGTGTCGTTTTATAGCATAGTTTTACTTTAACTTGTTTATATTAATACACAGGAACTGTCACCCGAAAACCCAGTTTCCCCCTGGAAGAAATACATTATTTTGATTCAGCTTCCGATAAATTAGTACCAGGTAACAGAACTGTCTTTTATAATGAATAGCAATAATGCTAATGTGAAATATAGCAATATTGTTAGTACCCACAACTATGGCATATTTGTGCCATTTACATCCTTCTGGTTTGTTGTTCTTACCTTCCCTCCTCTCTGTCTGCAGGAGGACTTGGAGGCGATGATCGCGGAGTTTCAGAATCTGGATGCAAAGAAGACAACAGTTGTAGAGACAATCTGTCCTCCTCCATCAGCAAGGTGATAGACTTTATCCCTTTCTATAAGTTTGAATGTATTGTCCCTATCTGGAAAGTTGTCTTGCATATCCAGACCGCACAGAAGATGATCACATTCATGAAACACACACTTGTGTCAGCAGCCAAATAAAACAACGAGCATCAGTAAGTAAAAGATAAGATAAGATGGACCTTTATTAATCCCTGTTGGGAAATTGGGAGAGCTAACACCCTAATCATCAGCGATTAAAGCAGGGGCATTTAACTGTTTAAAGACACGAGAGATAAAATCATTTCCTCTGACTCTTCATCTTAGAGATAAAGCCTCCATTTGTAACCATTGCCGCAAAGCCTGTTGAGAGATCACTAAACCAAGTAGTTATGGATTATATGAATGAACAATATAATAGGGCCGTGCAATTAATCGTATTTTAATCTCGATTACGATTTTGGCTTGCAACGATTAGGAAAAAAACGTAATCAAAATAAAACGATTATTATTTTTATTAAAAAAAAAGAAAAGTTAATAATCATTTTTATTTTTTAAATTTTTGTATTGGTTTTTCAGTTGAATTATACTTAAAGTTCAGAGTAATCAACTGTTAAAAATATACTGTTACTTTTTTTCAAAAAATTGATGTTTTTCAAAGTAAATGGATAATTGTTTTTAATAATTGTGATATCAATTATTGACCAAAGATAATCGTGATTATGATTTTTGCCATAATCGAGCAGCCCTACAATATAAATGTACAGTATTAGTTGTTATACTCTATAATAAAACAAACTACTACCAGCCGCAACAAACATAAAAGTCTATATTGAGTTTTACAGACATACCAGTTTAGTTAAAGGTGGGGTATGTAATTTATTTCAGAAACACTTTTTGTTATATTCCATGGAATGCTCTTAACATCCCGATAGCAATGAATATCTTAAATGCTTTGACAATAAATACATAAAACATTTAATCTGTGGAAGCCGTGGTACTGTAAAAACCTCGACCAATCATCTGAGCCGGCTAAAATAACTGGATGGCCTACCTGCCTGTCAGCCTTCCATCTGTGCACAAACTTATCTCGTGCCCTCATTGGTCATGTGCGCGTTCGTGTGTGTTGGAGGAGGGGCTCTGTAAGGAAGTCTGAAGGAAAAGGCAGATTTTTTCCGGTTGTGTACTTTTAAATTCTAGTGCACTCGAGCTGGTTTCTCCAAAATTACATACCCCACCTTTAAGCTTAAAGGGTAGTTCCTATGCTAAAGCGCTAATGTTTGAAAGGTATAATGTTAACCATTTACAAACGAAAATGGATTGGAGCACGAGCACCCTGATTGACTTGCAGCTTTTATTTGAGTAAAGTTGAAGGTTAAAACGATATTACAAATTACCCTCAAAGAGACAAAAGTTGTGCACCAAATATCAACACAGTCAAGTAGTTGATGAGGTTTTTTAGTCAGAACAAAAAATAACAACATCATGGTCACATGCATAGATCATCAGTAGGATTGATCCTCTGATAAAGGGACATGTTTTCCCATTCCCTAAAATAGATGTTGAGAGATTTGACAGACTAACGGCCCGTCCACACAGCGGCGTGCGTTGACGCTTCACCATTCACTTAGAATGGGTTGACGTCACTTTTCGCCGAACAGCATGGGAAGCAATGCGGAGCATTGCTGGCGTGGCTCGCTGCAAAAGTTGAGCAATGTTCAACTTTTGACGCCTCGGCAGAAGCGTCAGCCAGTCGAATCACATGCCAGCACATGCTCTAGCCAATCAAATCGCTGCTTGTGTGTCAGGTAGTGCTGCGTACCGGTACGCCGAACCGGTACTGGACTTGTAAAAAGTTTCGGTTCAAGTCCGGTTAAAACCGGAACGTCAGGAACCGGTACTTACGTATATTCTCCTTTGTGTTCTAAATCATCTAAAACCTTCCATAGATCGAGAAATTTGCGCTGAGAAAAGAAGAAAAACATTGTTTTGGCTTCTGATATGGCGGCCATTACTGAGCTCACGAAGTCTCGCAAAATATCGCAACTGCTCGCGAGATCTGTGTGACGTCAAGGGAAGCTGGCTTAGACATAGTGGACACTGACAGCGTGGGATGCTGGTTGCCATATTTGGTAGTGTAGCTAAGCTAACTCCTTTGTATGTATGGTGATATAGTGTCTGCCGAAGGAGCAACACTTCACCCAGACAATGTCAATATGCTGTTGTTCTTGAACAAGAACACATTGACTTGTACTCTTGCATATTGAGTCTTGTATGTACATCACTATGTATGTAGTTGTGTTGTGTAGTTAGTAACACATATAGAGTTCTAGAAAAGACATGGTGTGTAGACACAAGTTGGAAGGGGGCACAATAAACCTGACGAGTTTGAATTTGAGTTGATTATGAGTTTATTTTCAATTGATAATTAGCTCACAATAAGTTCACTTTAGTTACTCACACAACTTGACACAAGTCCGGACTTATAAGTCCGGACCTGAACCTGAACCTGAACCTCTGGACTTGAGTCCGGACCTGAACCTGAATGTGAGTCCAGGTACACAGTACTAGTGTCAGGGGTGGGAGATTCATGTGATTGGTTGTTGGTCGAGTTTCAGACAAACCCTCCGGCAAGCTTCAACGCACGCTGCTGTGTGGACGGGCCGTAAGTGATAGTCAGGATAAGTGCTGAGGCTCTGGGAACCATTTCAAAGGGGAGATCGCGACATCATGCATAATCTTATTTTCTGATGTCTTGTGATTTTTTTTTTAAGGCTGAGTGCGTCCATCTCCGCCCATCCTGAGAAGGATGAACTCATCCTGTTTGGAGGAGAATTCTTCAATGGAAGGAAGGTAGGAGAAAAGACTTGATGTCCACCCGGCTCACATTCTGATTTTGGGATGATTTGGAAAACGTATTTAAAGCATGGCCTTTCTTATTGTTTTTTCAATACATTTTCATACTGTGGTGTACAGGGGCTATTGTAGGAAAAACAAGGATGGATCTTCCAAGTTGAAGCAATTGGTGTCTTAGTCAAAAGAAAATAAGATTTTATTCATGTAATTTTAAATGCGTATAAATCAGAAAATGTCTGAATGAATGAAATCTGGGTTTTTTCCTGAAATGACTCGCCTCCCCAGGACCGTCATTTTATTTTTAAACCTACAATGGCCTTAATAAGCTCTCATAATTTCACAATCATCAACATTGTACAAACTGTTTATGAAGCTCACACTCTTTGATGCATTTGTTCTTTTATTTTCCCTTTTCGTCTAAACTGAAACTTTGTTGAATAAATTCCTAATTTGAAAACCTTTTGTTGCCTTTTTCTGCAGACGTACCTGTACAATGATTTGTTTTTCTACAACATCAAGAAGAACAACTGGGTTAAATCAGAGATCCCCAACCCCCCTCCCCCGCGCTGCGCTCACCAGGTAACCCTACACTCTGTCCCTCTAACTGTGTGTATCCTCAGATGAATGGTGTTTTAGGTGATTCTCAGAACCAAGTTCCTCTTCCAAATAAACAAAACCATGGGACTTAAATCCAAACAACACGTTTCATAATAAGTTTAGTCATATTGAATAGACCTGGGTGGTGCAACATTTGCTCTACAGCAGGGGTGTCCGACTGTCCGTGTCCACACTTTTTTCACTGAGGGCCACATACAGAAAAACATCCGAAGGGCTGGGCCGCTCAGTAGAGGTATATTGCCTCATAAGTTCAGTTGTAAGTTATCAAAATCAATCAAATGTAGGTACATTATGGTTGATACTTGAATGTGCCTTAAGAAAAACAACATCCTACATCACAGCTCTCAAAAGGGGTTTCAATAATTTTGTTAGCAACTCATTCCTTAAAACGGGAGCCTCAGATTGCTTATCATAAGAGGAAATAGGAAGGGTTTATTTCAAGCGTGTTATGAAAATAAGTTATTGGGCTTTTTTCTATCAACTTAGATTAGTTAGAAAATGTTTTCAACCTGAATTGACTGAATTAGTTTGAAGAGTGGGCTTCTTAACACATGCATACTGTGTAATATATTTGAACATGTATATTTAAGAAGTACAAGACAAGCACAACTTTCACTTTTGGGCCATACTCCATTATACTTTTTTAATTTGCTGAGGGCCGATTCATAATGGGGAAGCTTCATACTGCCTGTGGTGCAGCCCTGCCCGGGGGCCATAGTTTGGACACCCCCTGCTCTACAAGAACCTCATGTTGCTTGTCGGTCCCTGGTCAACTGTGTGATCCTTCATCTAAACACAAGGGGGCACACTGCTGCAGCACGGAGGAGCAGGAACCTTATAAGCATATCATCATGGCTGCTAGAAAAACCAATCTAAGGACACTAAACCTCCTTCATCCCCTTCTCTCTCGCCTCCTTTTCTTCTCCCCTCTGTCTCCCCCCTCAGGCGGTGGTCGTTCCCCAGGGCGGGGGACAGCTCTGGGTGTTCGGGGGAGAGTTTGCCTCTCCCAACGGGGAACAGTTCTACCACTACAAGGACCTCTGGGTGCTGCACCTGGCTACACACACTTGGGAGAACATCAAGTATGTGTAGATGGAGGCTCATAAAAACAAATGTGATTATAAATTAAGGGCATCATAATGATGTTTGAACACAGGGATCTGATGGTAGCTATAAATACTATTTTATATCCAATGAAGTTATGAGGACACCTTAATGAGTTCATTATATCCTGTAATGTCCAATCAGTGGATAAGTTAAGGTAATAAAAAATGACAGCTCCATAAAAGGAGTTCCAGAGGTGCACAGTGTTGTTGATATTTACTTTGAATATCTAATGATCCTTTTTACAGACATGAGTGACCAGAAATGATTTTGTGTCTCCAGGGCGCCCGGGGGTCCATCAGGGCGCAGCGGCCACAGGATGGTGCTCAGCAAGAAGCATTTGCTGGTGTTCGGAGGTTTCCATGAGAGCAACAGGTAGGCAGCAGACACTGAATGATAAACAAGGATACATGCTGTAATGGAGGGGATGGCGCACAGGTAACACTGTTGTTTAGATCATCCACGTCTGTAATGATTCTTGGGAGACTGTTCCAAATACGGTTCATTTCAATGTTTTATTGGAGCATTTTGAAGCTGCCGAGCTAATACAGTTGGATACCTAATCATTGGGTTAGCTTATTGGACAGCTGCATGTGTGTGTTTGATCATTGTCAATCAAACTTTATTTATACAGCACCTAAATACAGCTGCTAACATTCAACATTTTAGCAATTCTAACTAATGCATACATTATTTTATATATATATATTAGACCCTCCAGAACAACGCGGGCTAAAATCCTTGATTATGCGATCAAACATGCGGGTTT